ACATTTGGCTGTCATTCATGAGCTTGGTATACTCTTATCAGGTTCTGGCTCATGTTGGGTATATTGGGCCTCGTATATTTGCACCCAAGCTTCACTTTGTTGACGCGTTATTCTCTTATAAATTAATAAGAAAAATAAGTTTGAAAGAGAGAAACAAACGGAATGATACGAGCAGTGCAAGAGTAGGCTTGAAGAAAATATTCCATCATCAAGTACGCCAATAACAGGACGGCTGATTTACCATTGTGCAGGCTGTATATGAAAGTAACTGAAAGCCGCTATCCATTACTCTATCTTTTTAAGAAAATACTAGAGAATCCATGTTTGATCGTAAATGCAAAAGATATTGTTAATAAATAGTTTTCATATTATCCATTGATTGGTTAACAGACCGAATATTTAATTAAAGATTTTAAAATGTTTTGTCTTGGGGAAATAAGATGAGCTGCAGTAAATATCCCGCTCAGTACCACAGATTTCCTTTTGAAATCAAGTACGTCAATAACAGAACGGCTGGTTTACCATTGTGCAGGCTGTGTAGGAAAGTCACTGAAAGTGTGCAACACATTGTCTGGGGCTACACTCAGTTGGCACAAAAAAAAGCACAGACGACGCTATAACAAATTAGTTTTCGGAATACATTGGTAACTATTTAGGGACTATGGCCTCGACTGCATTTGTTGCGTGCAGATCAAAGCAGACACAGGGTTTCATTTCAGGGTGCAGATTCTACAAGTCAAACGCTTGTGGCTTAAAAATAACCGTTCAGTCAGTTCGTTATCCCCGAATAAATACCATGAGAATGTGTAGCAATAATCAGATTTTGTTATCGGCTTGTAACTATAGACAAGCGAAACCAAGATGAGCCCGAAGTGAGAAGGGGGGTATCGCGTCGTTCTCCGTGGGCTCTCTTCGCGGGTAGTAAACACTGTTTGATACAGGACGTTTTTTTTGTTGTCTTTTCTTCTTTCATTTTGGGACAGGTTAGCTGTTTGCTATTTAATCGGATATCAGCCGACACTGATATCGCTAGACATTCACTATGGTCAGCAGTCCAGAATGCACAAGAGAAGGTCATGTGGGATACGACTATCTTGACTGACAAGCACTTGGAGAGCAATCTCCCTGATATCACACTTGTTCACAAGAGCATTCATGAATGGACCCTAATAGACGTTTGGGGTACTTTGGAAAAAGAACATCGTGAAGATAGAGCAGGCAGAAATATAGAGGAAACATGTATATATATATATTATTATTATTATTATTATCATCATCATCTAAATCTATGTCTTTATATTTATATATCTATCTATCTGTATATATATATATATATATATATATATATATATATATAAATATATATAGATAGATATATAGATAGATAGATATAGAGATATACATATATATATATATGTGTGTGTGTGTGTGTGTGTGTGTGTGTATATATATATATATATATATATATATATATATACATATATATATATATATATATATAGAGAGAGAGAGAGAGATAATGAACATACCCGAAGACATAAAATGTTAGCGACATATGTGCAATGGAGGATATGCAAAAAGCACAAAATCGAAAGTACTGAGAGATGGTATGAGCAGCAACCAGACACAGTTACCCAAAATAACGATGTAACTATCCTCTGGGACATGTCAATTCAAACTGACATGGAAAATAAAAGCCAACAGGCCTGCCTGATACTATCAAGACAAGAATTTCAAGAACTGTATGCATGTTGGCATAGCAGTAACTACTTGAGTGAAACACCTCCATGAAAATTATCGAGAAATTGTCGAAATACAAGGATCTAGATATCAGGATTAACAGGATGTGGGAAATGAAGACTGAGACTGTAACAATAGTAATCGGACATCTGGGCCTCCTGCGAAAAGGAATGGGCAATTTTACTAACAGTATCTCAGGTAACATCAACATACAATTTGCCCAGATCAGTCTACTAGTAAAAACACCTATACTAAGAAAAGTGCTATCAATTAAATGACAATTCTGCTATAGGGCCTAAAGACCATAGTTTGGACCCGGCTCTAAAGGATACAAAGCAGAAAATACTAATACTACTACTACTACTAATAATAATAATAATAATAAAATATATTTTTTGTGAAATACTTTTAATAGCATCCCCATTGATCCGATGCTTAGGGCTTGAAAGAGACACTTTGATCATAATAAGACCACAGAGAAACTCAGATCCTAGCCAGAAGTAGCAATTTAAAAGTAAGTCATCCCATCAATTTTACAATGACAATGTGTTAGTCTCTACTATTAATAATAATTACTACTAATAATAATAACAAAGTAAAAATATTCAAAGCGAAAATGAGAAGCTGACATAACGAAAAGAAATATTGAAATTCTTTCGGATTTCTAAAATGAAATATATCTCTAAATCAAGGCCATTCGAGACAATATTTTCATCGGAACGAAAAAAAAAAAAAAAGAACTTGAGCAACTTTGTGGATGTCGCCATTAAAACATGCCACAGAGGGCATGAGGGAAAAATAAAAATTGTAAAATTCTTTAAATCTTGGTTTAGAAATTGATAGTCGCGATTATACCATTATTTATTGAACACTTGGAACAATCTGTAAGTTAAAAAAAAAGCAGCGGAAATGGAAATTCTGGGGAGAATTTATATCATTCAGATGACCACCTAATTAAAGTCATCAAGAACGGTGATGAAATGCGGAGATGTTAAATCAGCTTGTTGTCACCTGATGCCAAGGGAACAACACTAGATACAAGTCATGCCAGGACATAAAGAATTAAAATGTAATGATGATAATGACAGAACGCACACAAACTAGAATCTGTCCTTGAGAGAAGAAGCATTTCAAATGACTCCCCGCTCCCCTGCGTCAAATCTGGTAGGGAGAGAAGAATGCACGAAATAAAGTATTTATATTGAAGGTTGCTTTCTGGATCAAAAGAAGTTAAAATAAAGTAAAAAAAAAATGGAAGGTTTAATGAATCTTAAACGACCCCCCAAATTATGCAAGTTGAAAAAGATGATTGCATCCATCCTTACTTCAGTGACGGGGACAGTATGAAAGGTTTCAAAAAGTCATGAAGGAAGTGGAAATTCCAGGAGGAATTTACATCATAGTTAAATACCAAGAATATTGTGGAGACTTCCTGTCATCTGATCCCTAGTGAATTTCAGCAGATGTTACTGATATTAGAACTCAATGAATAAAATATGTTAAGAATAATGACACTGTCGACATAAACTTGAATCTGTCGTAGATAAAAGAAACAGTGAAATGCTACGGAATACTTTGAAGAACAAATAGATAACTGCTTTGAAGTACAAATAGATAGAAAGTCTTTAGTGAACGAAAGCCGAAAATCGAAGATGAAATAAAAATAAACAAAAACTCATGTTTACGAATCTGGTTCAACGCATGATTCCCAGCTGAAAAAGAAAATAAATTAAGGAGGGTCTTCAGCCATCGAAAATTTCAGTCGCCTAAAAGCAAAAAACCTTACGGCATCTACGATGGTAAGCAGAAACTTTTATCTTTTCTGGGGGTCTTTTTAAATTCCCAAACAGATCACACCTGATTTCTCTTCCAATTTCGACACAAATTCTGTCTTGTTCTGAAAATTACTCCGTCGGTATTGCTTATATTTATAATAATTAACGAATAGTGATATGTCCGAAAGGTTAGAACTGTCGCTTTTCAACCAGGAAACCCGGGTTCGAATTCCATGATAGATTTGTCAGAATGGTGAATTATTCATTTAAAGTTCCTGGGAAGACAATACTACGTGTTGATCCAAGCCCTGTGAGTGAAATTTGGTAGGCAGAACTATTTGGGAACCCTCAGTTTTTATGCCAGCATGAAGTCACAAGTCATCGTGACCGAGGCTTTAAGAGTACTGAACTTGACAGATAATGCTAACTCTACCAGAAACTGTATCTTAGTTCCGCTCAACAAAGTTGCAGTATAAACCACTGATGGGCTATGTGGGTGTCGAACAAACAAAAATGTGCCTGGCCTGGTGTCTGCAACAGAGATTGGTTAATCATCCTCATAGACAGGCATAGTCAGATATGATCGTCGAAGAATTATTAACGTTTATCCTTACATTCTTTTAATTGAACATTTTTACAAAATGACTTATCGTCTGAAGCGTAAAAAGTTACACGTCTTTCTATGTGTTTTTTTTTAATGTCAGCCATGACTGAGCGCAAAAGGTGTTTATTATTTCATCTTTATTCGCTTAGTTTCTGTTATCAGCAGTAGTCTAGTATGAGATCTTCCTCTTATTTCCTTAGCTGCCTATTGGGAACAAAACTTTAGCTATTATGTTTAACCTTTGATCCTGAACAGGCCTAAACAGACTAAAACCAACGAAATGTAAGACTAGAAAACATCTACCAAGTATTGCTGCCATATATGGTCTGGAGCCTCTTCTGTTTGCCTCGGGGTTCTTGATAAGATCCAGAGGCGGATATGTAAGATAATTGGCCCTGTTCTGGCATCTCGTCTACAGTCGCTTTATCACAGACGCGTCGTCGCCTCTCTCTATCCTTTTTACAAATACTTTCATGGGAATTGCTCCGGGGAGCTGCATTCGCTGGTTCCCAGACTTCATAAATTCAAGCGCCCTACGAGGCTAGCATCCCGCTCTCACCCTTTCACTGTCGAAACTATTAAATGTAGCCGTCTCTTCTACTCCAATAGCTTCATATCTCGCACCTCTCGCCTGTGTAACTCCCTTCCTTACTCCAGTTTCCCTGAGAGCTATAATCTCCAACTATTCAAATTTAATGTCAATCGACATCTCCAGTTGCCTTGATCTATCCATTATCCTTCTCCTCGTCCTTTCCTCTATCACTCCTATCTGAACTTGCTCCAAATCTTCTGTAACCCCTTGCGTCCTAGTGGCTTCCCACCTTGCTTGGGGTGAAAGGCTTAAAAAAAATCTAAAATGCCTCATCTCAAAGCAGAAGATTTATGGTCATATCCCGTTGAACCACCGGTTCCCGTACAATCACCGAAGTTAAGCAAAGTCGAGCCTTGTCAGTACCTAGATGAGTGATCTCTTGGGAATACCAGGCGGATGTGTGGATGATCCAATGGATAATGACTCGGAATTGTTAATCGGAGAGCCGAGTTCCAATTACCGTTGGGCTATATTCATTTATGTGCAAATACCCTTGGAAAAGGTACGAAATCACCTCTTCTCCCCAGCTATGGATTAATTAGTAAGACTTGTATCGCTATGCCATTATTATCTAAAAAAATT